GAAGCAGGCTCAGTTCGAATTCGAAGATTATCCGGTTATCTTTTTAATCATCCAATATTCCTGAAGGTGAGGACACATCACATTCATGACCTTGATGTGTGCGCATTCGTCATAACTTTTTGATGGCAATATTTCCCACTGACAAATGCGATTTGTGGGACTCCATTTGAATGCAGGACCGGTTGGGTAAACCTGAAAGGAGAATAACAAAAGCGAGCAGCAGGCGAAATTCGGAACGGGAGCACAAAAATACGCAGGAGTAGATCGATCGTGATACATCTTGGTGAGTTCTTTGTACTGACTGTAAAACTTACTTCAAGAAGTATGCAGAACCAACTGTTTAGAGGTAGGCTTAGGTGGAAAAAGATGAAGGTGTGCACGACGGTAATGAAAATTAGTCTGAAGCTGAAGATATAACTACGAAATGGAGAGATTAGGGGATTTTAGACCAGGTATTCACTTGTTATATACCTATGTACAAGCGTTTGATGAGGTTATAAACATTTAAGTGAAATTCATGGTTTTTTCTGAGACGTTAACCACCCTTTGTCTGGTCACGGAGGGGGGATGATCATGGTGTTGCCTGTTGAGTACTACCATATCTAGGCTACGGAAACTATGTTGGTGCCGAGTACTTACATGTAAGTACTGATAACAAAGGGCAAATAATAGAGAGTTGCATGCTATGAAAATGCACCGACAGACAGTTCTTTTATCTTTTTGGAGTAGAGAGATTACTTTAAGGGACGAACTTTAGGAAATAGGTGTTAAGTCGTGAGATCAGTTGGGTTATGAAGATAAAAGTAGGTTACATTAGAGTAGCTACTGAGTTCACTGTTGCATATCGTATCGCACTCCGCTTCGCGTTCACTCTCGGTCATTTTTTTTAAAGAAATTAGATTTTAACTTAACTATTGCGTTTAGTTTTCGGCATTGTATACTCTTGTCATTGCTGTTAGTCCCACTTGAGTCCAGCTACCAGTGGCACCATTGTGCATGGCATTACCGTTTGTGGTTTGGCCGTCAACGAATTGATGAGATTCGTTAGATAGGAGGAATTCACTGAGTAATCTTTGAAGATAGCCGAGAGAATGACATGCTCGTATAGGAGCGGGAATTTTGTTCCGCAGCATGCCGTGTTGAGTTATGAAAAACCTACATCGAAGTTTTGAGCGATACTTATTTATTGGGATGATGTACTCGCCATTACGCGGATTATGTGCCTGTGTTGATTTAAAAGTGATAGCACATTTCATTTTAGGGTTTGTAAATAAAAGACGAAAAATAAATGTTAGGTTGAGCTTCAGGCGTCTCAGCCAGAGTGATTCTAGTCCTGGTTATTTGCATATTGCATCGTTAGGAAGTCCGTCGTTATGTATTAGTAGGCGCCGAGTAAAGTTTCGTTGGATGTTCTCTACTCGAATTCTTTCCGATACTTTCATGTTGCCATAGATAACCGTGCAGCACTCTAATATTGGGCGAACTATAGCCTTGTACAGTATAAGTTTTGCCTCAGGTGAGAGTATGTTTCTGTGTAGAAGACCAATGAGACTTCTGCCCTGGGAACCTATCGAATCTGCATACTCCCTAAGAGTCAAACTTCTGGAGTAAGTGATTCCATTGAATGTCATTCATGCAAAACCCGCTGCGGTAGCTGGACTTCGTGAATGCTTTTTTCTCAAGCGTTTCTGTTTGTTAGTCCCAGAGTCGTGTGAATGTCCACGGGTGTGGGTCTTTACAGACGGGGTGTTTTGGATGTGGCTGTGGCCGATGCATCGTAACCCCAATGCCGGATGGCTAGCCTTTGGTGACCAGTGCTTGAGGAAGTTAGATGAACTAAACAGCCCTTTTTGCTGAGCCGATGTTCCCTCTCATCATCGGAGCCTCCCTTGAAAATGGGAGACTGCCTTTCAATGGCCAAAACAGTTTGGCTCCTAAGCTGCCCAACCTGTTAGCAGTGCGTAGCATCCCACTGCCGTCTGGCGGAGTCTCCTTTGCTCGAGAATGCCGTCATCGCACGAAGAAGCCTGATTGATTGAAAGCTTCATCAGCATTATCACGGTCCTTGGGTCAGTTTTGGCAATAAGCCGTGCTCTTTAATGGGCCCCCACCTAGTTCTCACAACGCCCAGCAGCAGCCGCCACTAGAGTGAGTTTACTGTTTAGACTAATGGGGTTTTGAGTCGGGGTAGCAGCTACTTCACCATCTTTCAGCTTCTCACTCTGTTGACTGCCAACTTAACATCCCTGCCGAACTGATGACAATGGCAGACTTTTGTGCTGGGTTGAAAATCACCAGAAAGTCTCTGGCAATCCTTAAGGGAGTCTGTGGCTAATGATAGGTCCATATAGAGATGAAGGGAAATGTACGAGAACGATTTATAAGGGTGGCAATAAATGAAAGCACAACACGGGTTTAAACGTGCCCATCGGTTCCAGGATCCAAGATCCTCTGAGCTACTTTTATGCGTCTCAGCTACAACCCGAGTTACTAAGGAGTGAAGGGTAGCCAGTGACTATGGTCAGGGTTTTTCGTAAAGTAATGTATGGCGAATGTTGTAGCACACCGCGCGTTTCCACGGATGAGCACGTAAAGCGAAAGGGGAGAGGGAATGAAAGCAAATAAATCAGGTAGTTACAAAATGATGATCCAAGTTGTAGACTACCGACCTCACCTGCGGTTATTCGGTTGTGCAACTGCGTTGAGTCCTAACAGCTATCCAAGAGTTGTAGGTGTGAGAGTGAGTATAGGCTGTATCTTAAGCCATGGGGGTTGACCGAGACAGTTAAACCTACCACAAAGTTGTTCGTTTGAAGAGTGTTGGTGGTTAACAAGCGGGTCACACACTACACTGACTGATCCTTTTAAAATAGTTGAACTGTAAGAGAAGATCACTGGCTGTGCCCTTTCCGAGTGTAACGGGGAAGGGGCAAGGCAAGTTGGGAACCAAGAGGTTCGCGACATGCCTGAAGAAATGGAGTTAAAACAACAGCTTTGGTCTGCATTTCATGATCTCAAAACAGCCTGGATAAGTTATGTTCGGGCTTGGAAAAAACGTGGGAATGCGTAGAAGAGATCAACAAATCTCAAGTCCGGAAGTGCACTCGACAGGTGACTGGATCTCTACTTCCATACACTGCAAACTCAAAGAAGTCAAGACCTAGTATACTCAGGCCGTTTGGCAGTGACTTGACCACAAAATTCGACAGAGTCAACGTGTCCACTAACCACCAAATAATGCAGACGATACCGTTGTGAAAGGGGTATAGACGATGGTAGAAGAGCGTAGTATCAAAAGGCTCAGGGTGGGGGTGACTTAGATATGGGAACTAAAGCTATTTTCAGGAAGTTAACGAAGTTAGGAATTATCGTTGGTCTGTATATTGACAGTACGCTGAATATGCCGAAGTAATCTCTTAGTCGACTGCCGGCCATTTCTTTCTGTAATTGCTTCCTGATATCGTCGGTATGCTTAGGGAAATAACTGTGTCTGAAAGAGACACAGGTTCCGGCGCTAAAATTGTGATCGTGCAGTCATCCACTCTCACATGTGAAACGAATGCCCCTTCCGACTACTTGACGAGTTATTCAGTTGCCTCAAAAATATACAATTCAAGCGGACGAAACCATAATTTCACGTATGACTAACTTGTGGCATCTGACCAATAAACGACTATGGCCGACAGCGAAACTAAAATAAATACTATCTACCTTGCCATCCAGACTCAGCTACTAGCGCTTTCTTCTTACGCCAGGTGCTACCAAACTTCATGCGAAGGTTACCACGCAGTTGCTTTCTGATCGAGGGTCGTCACCTCTCCTTGAAACCTGCCCATTTTAGGAGTAAGTAATTGTAGCATGTACACCACACCTAATGGGAAACAGGCTAGTACCAGACAAGGTTGAAAGAAGATCTAGTAAGACAGTTCCAGACCTCTACAGGACTCAATCGATGTATGATTAAAATCACAAAACCAGTTCCAACTTGACTGTTGGCCAGCACAGACTGCTGTCGCGGGACTGCTTTGAGCACTGGACACTGCCTAACGCTCTTCAGGAGCGAAGGCAAAGTAACGGACCATAAGTGACACGCTGGGCAGTGGCTGAAGTTGAAATACAACATTAGGGACACGAAATGTAAGGAATTCCTTAACTTTGGGTCCGAAAGATTTGGAGTTACCTATGATGCATATCACTAAACCTGCATCTCTTTAAATTTTCAGGCAGATATTGACCTCAAGTGTGCAGTCTAGAATACCATCTTAAACTACAGAGCATCATCGGAAGCAAAGAACTGATAGTATTTGAAGTCAGTTGTTTGCAGAATACGATTAACTAACAAGTCAAAGCTTCCTCCGGCCGTCGCTACTCTGCGTAGCAGATGAATAAAGCACGGCCAGCCTCTCTCCCACTCCTTCCAATTAGATTGCAATACCCCAAAAACATAGTCGGAGAGTACAAAAGTCAGGGAATAATGTAGTTTTCGTAGTGCACTGGTTTTCAAGCCAAGCAAGCAACTCTTGGGGCCGAGCTCTAGGAATGGTCTCCGCACCATCATATTTCTCATTCAAGAGACGACCGTGGAAACTCAGGGACCAATGAGAAAAGAAATTATGATATCCTCCTAGCCTTTTATCTTCTAACCCGGAGTCTGAAATCTGAATCCTAAGTAATTCGGTAAGTTCTCAGCACTTGTTGTGTACATCAGTATCTACGACCTTCATGATCCCCTGAAGACCTGAAACCTCACACAACCTTAGTGATTGTTCGAGGGGACATCAGCTGGCTCCCACTAACTAGTGGAGGAAGCAGTATTTTGAACAAAATTTTCCTACAAATTAAATTGACATCAAACTGCCCGTCGCGTTAACAAGACCTACAGCAAACAGGTATGTATTCCTACTGCAGCAGAATCCGTCAAAAGTCTGCAAATCTTCCACAAGACCCAGGAGCATTCGAGAAGAAATCATATGGTTTGCACTAGCTCGTATAAAGATATCGCAAGGTATTGGATATTGAAGAGCGCTTGTTACAAAACGTGTACCACCACCTATATTTGCCAGCAAGTTCGGTTACCAGTCATGGCTTCAAGTGCTACCACTGGGTCTCCCCAAGATCCTAACACTAGAGAATCAGACCTGACTGATGAAGAAAAAGCAAGATTGCAAGTTGAACTATCACAGGTAAGTTTTCGGTTCAGTTGTTTTAAAAGCGCGTAGCATGCTATCGCTCTACCACTTAGAATAATGCATTATTCTAAGTGATAGAGCGATAGTCATCTTCAGTTCGTGGCTCATGATAACCCCTTAATCTATTTATTTTGAAGCCCTAATTACTGTTAGGGAATTATTTCGGTATCCACCGGGCTAGTCACTTCCAATGTTCATAAACTCTTTTAGTAAAATTGATTCCCAGTGCTGAAATGCATTTACGTTTACAGTATTGAAAGGTAAGAATGATAGTTCAACCTGCTTTGAAAATACTGTCAGTGTGTTTCCTTTATCGATTTTGTCTGTTGTTCAAGGTATAAACCGTGAACACAACCTCGTTAGTTGATGATTCGAAGCGTTTTGGGAATATTATTAAGTTTAAGGTCATGAATGCAAACACCTTGTCAGCTTTTATTGTGCAAACGAACAAGGAAAGACAATTCATCCTTTCACACGAGCAGAACTTGAAATGAATGACGTTATTTGCCTACATTAAATGAGTTTCTTTATCTTAGTGTGAACAAAATATGGCGTGATGATTGAAGTTGAAATAAAAAACTAAATTACCCCATTATTACAAATATTTGCCCACGCACCGCTGACTCAGCAACTGACTAAATCTTAATTTCACTTCAACTACCATAGGTTGTCTGGCTCTTTTACAAATGCCTGATGCTTAACTATCTGTTTACCGTCTTCACACTAAATTCCCAACCAGCTTTTATCTCTATTCAAGTAGCTGATAAATTCCAGTTTACCAGATAGACTATCACAGTCTCACCAAAAATTATACATCATAGACGTTGACCAGTTTTTTCGGTCAAACCAGGAGAACGTTTGACTGGATATATACATTTTTAGATTTGTGTATTTAGTAGTCGCTTTCTAAAGGCTTTTCACCGGACATTCATGCATATATAAAAACAGCCACTGTTAACTTTTTGGAAAGGCATGTATAGTTAAATTCATGAGCAATGTAACTGTCAGTTGTAGGATAAAACATATGTCAGTTGTTACGATTATGAACCTATGTCGATTGAAATGCCTTGAATATGTGTTTCATTGTTGAGTTTACCCAGATGCGCCATATTTCTTGACGTAGGACTGCTTCCTGAAATTATCAAATTAGGAAGTTTCATCCATCCATCATATATTTAATTGACTGATTAAGCTATACATGGGAATGTAAACATCCTGGTTGGGTTCCTTCAGTCAACCGAAACCAGTGACTGAAGTTTAGAGGTAGCCTAGCTCAGAATGGGTTGCGAGAGTGCAAATGTATTTATTGTTAGCCATAAAAATATTAAACCCGACTGAACTCGGTATATATTGTTGTACTAAGCTATAAGCGACATTATATTTGTGTTTATGGTACTGGTCGCCCCATCTGAAGAAAATAAAGCGAAGTTTCAACCCATGAGCCGTTGTAACAGATCCTATTTCTTGTTGCACGTCATCTACTTGTTTTATAGCTGTCTACAACCTACCAGTGTTATATTTCTCTTCCTGTCCTCCTGGGTCGTGACACCCTGATATAAAACTAATATCATTCCATCCTTACATCATAGTTTTGCTGGTTACTACATTTAGGAGCGTTAAAGTAAAATAGAGCTCCCTGCTGTTACTACTAAGTGGGTGCCTCAGTGACACAGTCCATTAGTTTAACAAAAGTCGATTTACCAAATTACTGCAGATGCATTCGGTTGTTATCACTTTCGAAATCCCCAACATTTTTACTTAAATTTGATCATTCTGTCTTTTCACACATTTGTTTACTCAGCTAATTTTCTTCTATCCATTCGTGTAGTGTTTTAAGGTGATGTACTCCTACTGCAGGTAGTAAATTGATTTGCCTGTTTATCTTAATTGGACTTACAGTTTCTTTTTCGTGAATATGATTAAAACATGCAGTTTTTGAAGTGTGTATTTCACCAGATAGTTATTGTCATCACTGAGCATAACAATGCTGCCTAACAGATCAGGTTGCATACCTCACGTCGGGGCATCAAGATTTAAGGCAACAAGATGAAATATAGAAAAGGTGTGATCAAGGGTCGCAGAAAACCATCAGAAGAGAGAATAAAAAGATAGCGTAAAGCTAGTAGCGAGTTATACTGTAACGCTTGGGTCAAACGTAATGTGTGGATGCATCTGGATCGCGTGATCGATTTTGAACTGCTGCTTCACCCACCGGTAGATGTTATCTCACCCTTAGTGCTGCATTACCCAGTTAACTCGATACAGATTGAAGGACTCATTTGGCTTTTAACAACTGACGTTACTGAAAAGATGTGTACGAAGAACTCAATGCAGCACATAGCGATGTACTCTGTCCTATTATGTACCTATAAAATATGTCTGTCGAAAGTTGCAGACCTACAAAAACTACGAGTATTTGTGTAGCATGGAATCTGGGGTTGTCAAGAAAGTTAAGGTTAAAAAGAATAGCTAATCGTAACGTTTGAGTTTTCAAACTATCAGTATCATCACGTTTTTCCATCGTAAGCCTGATGCGGGTGCTATAATAATACTCTGAAGAGAATGTACCTTTAAGTTTCCGCACTGGTGAATGTATATATATATATATATATATATATATATATATATATATATATATATATATATGCGGACTCTTGGACAATAACCTTCAGATTCCCCTCGAAATGGTCACTCAGCTCCGTAAATAGAAAAAACGGTAATATAACAAGTGTTGCAACGTCAAAAAAATATAAAAAATACTGGAGTATATATGTACAATGGCCTTGGCTATTTCCAAACCTTTTGTAGATTTGAGTCACACTGACTTTTCTTCTCCTCAACAAGTTCGATAATCACACGTTGGTTCTCATGCTTTCTCCCGAAATTTTGGAACAAGACTATTGGTTGAAAAAGGCTTAAGGGATTTGCGGCTTCTTATGAAGATTTTGGTAATCTTATTCCACATGAACACGTTTCAGCATATACACTAAGCATTTTGTTGTCTTCATCGAGGATATTCCGGAAGATATATTTTCATCATAGGAAATTTCCTTGTTTTAGCACTTAATGTTCATTTATGCATCTGTTAATTAAAATATCCTATTCGAAGGATTATTTTCACAGGGGTCTTAGGTACTCTCAAAAATGACATTAAAGTAGCGGGTATGTCTTTTATTCAGGTTTTGTGTATATAAAGCTTCATTGTATTGATTTTGAATTTTTCACACTGTGGACTTATCATAGGTTGACGAAGAAATTCGACTACTTCAGGAAACTCTTGCTGTGAAGTTGCGTCGGTCTAATGAAATTAAAAAGAGTCTTGGTTATACTTCTCTTTCAACATTGCAGCATGACCTTATGGAAGGTATTCACAAGTTAGAAGATACAGAAGCGTAAGTGATTATATATATCTATAGCATTACTTTTGTCACCCGCCTCGGTCCGAGGCCAGGTCATGGTTTTTTGTCGTTATGTTTCTAATTCATATAGACTCACGGTTCTACATCAAAGCTTGACTGAATACCCAAATAATACGAGTTGGATTAGAAGTTATGCTTCTCATCACAATAAACTTCGCACCAGAGTAAACAAAGTTGTGTGAGAGAATAACCACTCTGAAGATAACTGTTAGTACAAATATTCAAGCCTTAGAAGACGTCAGTGAGTTAATAAATCTGCACCATTGTGATTGATATTCAGCCATTTCACCAAGAGTCGTCAACCACTGGTCCCTTTAGTCTCAGGGATCCCAACCAGGCAGTCTACCTCTCTTTACATGGCTCAGACTAATAGTCAAAGACTTTATCGACTGGTGCCACTGTCCATCGTAAACCCTCTCGCAACCTAATGCAACTTCCTGAAGTATGGCACGCCGAGGTAGGCGGTGGCTTGACATGCGTGGTACACGTTTGATCCATGTCAGTCGACAGTCTCATCAATTAACTTGCCTTTCTTGCCAAGTATTCTTCGCCTGACCTCAACATTGCTCAAACGGAGATTCCACCAAACTCTAGCAATACTACGAAAACACCTGCGATCAAAACCCCGCAACTGTTTCATGCCTTCTACTTTCAATGGCCATGTTTCATAGGAGCATAACAAGACAACAGACTGGAGCCCTGTGCACTCGTCTTTTGACAGGATAGTGGGATATCTCGCCGGCGTCACATGTGACATAAGTTGATAAATGCTAAACGGGGCTTCTGTATCTGAGCTAAGATTTCGTTAGCAACCAACCCGTTCGAGCTGATGCAACTTCCCGAGTAAGTGAAGTGGTGGACACATTCCACTATTTCACTTATCGTTAAACTGGGAATACCTGCAGCAGACCAGTCTTGGAGCATCATCTTATATTTGACAGGTCCGAAACCCGTGCCAAACACTCAGATTTCTGCTCGACACGTTCAGAAGACCATCTCTAACGGAAACTGACAGATTTATTATCCTACCGAAAGTGAAAACGAAAGTTGTATTAGGCGTCTACTGGTATTTTTATTTGTTGGCAAACTTCTTTTTAGCGTCAACTTCCCCGTTACCGTGTTTTTTCCTTCTGTTTGACTCAGTTACATCAGAACTACTGAACTTATAAGTAAAGCCAAGGACAAGACGGTAACTGCAGCACAAGATGCCAGGGAAAAAGTGGGATCAACCATTTCTGCTATCCGGTAGGCTATCTTCACCGTTTTGTGATCTCATTACATTCTATTTCTCTTCGAATGCATTAGAAATTCTGAAGTCGTTAAATCGCTGAACGATAGCGTTGGCACTGCGTATTCAGCAGTTAAGGTAAGTTTCTTTAATTAACTTGTATCTATAAGCATGCTATTTGTGGATTGTAGGAGAAGATCTATCGATTTAGTTTATAAGAAGTCAGAGATACTTGCAAAATTATCATCTTACTTGCTGTTGCCGATTGTTCCAGGTAGTATTCTTCCAACCATTGAGAAGAATTTTCAAATCCTACCAGGTGGTAGTATCACTAACCTTCACATAATAGGTGTGATACGTTTCCTACTGTTCACAACTGCACTTAGTTACTCAGTATTATTTAAGTTCAACATTTTGTGTATGGTTCAATTAACCAAAAATACCCATTAGGATATTAGAAAAAATGAGAAGTTCAGTGAAGATTTTATTCTCTACAAGATTGACAACGTTTGGTTCTATCCTGTTAATTATCTTGCCTCTAAGCTCCTTTGGGATAACTCATCATCGTATGTCACAATTGCACCTTTTAACCTTCACTCAACGTAATCTTTGTTATTCAGATTGATTAAATAATGCTTTTGACTATCAAGTGTAGTGGGATAAAACTGTATAGAATTGCCATTAGAGAGAGAATGAAATCCCTGAGAAAAGATATATCTCCGTTGGACTTCTCGTTATTTCTGATATGATTCAATTGATATTTAACCTTTACAAAATCCAGTTGTATTGGATTTCTAAAGCATTCAGTTTCTGTTTATAATTTCAATTCACTTTTTATGAATGAATTTCTTCAATCTTTATTACATTTCTTTTTTTGTACTTTTTGTATTTTTGTTTGAAGACTTCTTTTTCCTCTTCAGCAATCGATTTCAGTAGTGTTTTGCTACCGTTAAATTGTAAAATAATGATTGAAGTATACTTAATACTTTCTGTAATCTATCAAACGAGTTATACAGTATGGGTTACTAAGCTGAATGACTTAACAATACGACCTATTTTAGTCGATATGTTATGTATCACTTCTTGATTCACACACTGTGTACAGTGTCGACTTATTGAAATTTTGTGGTTAAGATGTGGCACAACTTAAAGATATCTTGAAAACAGACTTATTGAGCAAAGAAATATATTTCTTGGTTGTATTGTGTACTTTGAGCCCAGACAACACAATACAACTAAGACCATCCACTTGAGCTACAAATAATCTCCCGTATTTCAAATATATTTCTTTTCAACAAGGTCTTCGTCTTTAGCCCTACGCTAATATGTAGGTTTACAATTCAACCAAAATATCAATCATATGGTGATGATGGTATGGGATTGATAAACAATAATTATAGATTATAAGTAAGTCATCAAGATGATAAGTTTGAGAAATTAAGATGTAAATAATCAATAGAGTAAAAATGGTAATTATAATATTGTGAAACAGGTTATTCTTAGAGAAATTGCATAGTAACTGTTAAAGTAAATGGAGTAACTTTTTCTTGAGTGGAAAGTCATAAGAAGTAACTAATTATGTTAGAAAGCAAATGAATATTGGTAGAAAAAGAGAGGAAGTGTTGCACAAAGTAATACTAAAAGTTACTGCACCACTTAGTGTTTTGATTGAACTGTAAACCTATAACATTAGTGTAGAGCCAAAAACGAAGATCTAATCGAAAAGGAATGCATCCTTTGCTCACTCAGTCTTTTTTCTAAATGTCTAAATGAAAATTTTCAATTAATATAAGTGTAAGGATCCGGTTGAACCGATTAAGCGAAATAATCTAATCCCTCAAATTCCATGTAATGACTATTAAGTCAGGTACATAGGTTAAAGTAACCGGTCGGAGTCAGTTAGAATAGCCGAACATAGAAATCTCGCTAAATATAAAATGACAGACCCAAATAAGATCAATAATCTAGAAAAAAACTCGGCCATTACAATTTGTGCATTAACGCACAACCACAAAATAGGGTGGGATAAAACCACTGTACTTAAGTTTAATATAATTAGGTAGGTAGGTAGGTAGGTAGGTAGGTAGGTAGGTAGGTAGGTAGGTAGGTAGGTAGGTAGGTAGGTAGGTAGGTAGGTAGGTAGGTAGGTAGGTAGGTAGGTAGGTAGGTAGGTAGGTAGAGAGAGAGAGAGAGAGAGAGAGAGAGAGAGAGAGAGAGAGAGAGAGAGAGATTGTTTCCTAAACCTTTGTTCGTCCAATCAACACCTAACGCATGTAATAGGAATGGCGCAACACCTATGCCAGAGATATGGAAAATTTTGCTACAAGTAAAAATAAATAGTGTGAGGTGACAAGACTATAAAAATCGGATGTTGGAAGTAGTATGATTAAATTGATATGATTATGAGGAATAATTTATCCTCGAAACGTCATCAAGTAAATAATACTGTATCACTGTGCGATATATTATCAAATGAACAAATCTACTAGAGAATTTTCATTGTATTTAAGATATCTAGTGTAATGATTTGCTGAAGAAGAATGAGAAACATTAATCAGTCAATATTCACTCTTCGAATAGATTTTGATGTTAGGAAAGTTCTTATGCAAATTTCTAATACTTATCACCATACCCATGGAGGCTTTATTTTCTAGTTTAGACAATTGACTTTCAACTCCTGGGCGATGGACTCAAACTTCTCTCCTTTCAATTAAGTTTCCAAAGCTAGATTTAGAGCTCATTACATACATTTGTTGGCAGGTATTTATTGAATGGTTACCAACCTCCATATCATCCATGTGTGATTTGAAAAGTTGAGTAGTGACCATTTTATCTTGATTATTGTTTTGGATATATGTGACTATTTCTATCCATTTATTCTTTTAGAAAAAGACTGATTGAGCGAAGAAATATATTTCTTTTCAATTAGGTCTTCATCTTCGGCTCTACACTAATATATAGGTTTACAATTTAATCAAATTACCAATCACGTGGTGACGTTTCAGAAATAATGACGTGAGTAATCAATGGAGTTACTAAAATAGGAAATATGAATATTGATAGGAACAAGAAGGAGAAGAGGTGCACAAAATAAACCTAGAAGTTACATAATGTTGACGGCCACGGTAATGAAAGTGGTCGAACAAACTTCTTTTCGATGATGATGGACTTAAGATTACACTCGTTGACTCTTGCCTAAAGTACACGAGTAGTAGGAACAGTATGAAGAGTATTTTAACGAAAAAACGTAGAGAAGCCTTGAAAAAGCTTAAAACTAATGAAATATCGTGATTGCCAAGCCAGATAAAGGGTCAGCAATAGTTTTAATGGATGAAAAAGAGTACATAGACAAAATGAATTCTTTACTTAGTGATGAAAGTAAATTTCAGAAATTAGCCGCTTATGGTGATACTACAGAGAAAACCGAGGAAAATCTAACTGAATCACTGAAAAGGATAAAACAACAAGGTTTCATTTCAGAAAGCACCTTCAAAATGCTGAAACCTACTGGAACCCTTTACACCTAGACTTTACGGCCTACCGAAACTACATAAAAACGGTCTGCCTCTACGACCAGTTCTTGACATGACTAACTCTCCGTATCATACAACAGCAAAATGGTTGGTACAACTTTTGAAGCCTCTCCACAAAGAAGTTGTGAAGTACAGTCTCAAAGATACCTTTGAATTTGTCGGAAAGATTGAGGATCTGGAAGTAGATAATAAGTTAATGATTTCGTGTGACGTTTCATCTCTTTACTAACGTTCCTTTAGTGGAGACAGTAGACTTTATTTGCAACGAACTCACGAAGCATGGCATGGAAATAGGTGTTCCAGTCCCCACATTGAAAGAACTTCTGAGGTGTACGATGAATGCACAATTTCTTTTCAACAATGAACTCTACCGGCAATCTGATGGTGTTGCCATAGGGTCACCCCTTGGCCCGCTCTTAGCAGATTTTTTTCTGGCAAGACTTGAGAATGGTCCACTGAACGATACTATAAGCCGTTTAGAGTTATATTGTCGTTACATGGATGATACCTTTATAGTTCTCAAAAATGAGACTGATAAGAATGCTGTTCTGAATAAGTTCAATAGTGATCACCCAGCAATCAACTTCACAATGGAAGAGGAGAAAAATGATAGTATCCCATTTCTTGATGTTCTGTTGGTAAGAAGGTCAGACGGAACCCTGAAGCGAAGTGTTTATAGAAAGCCAGCATCAACAAATCAATATACGCACTTCTTTAGTGCTGTACCCCTCCAATGCAAAAGGAATCTAGTGAAATGCTTAGCATGCCGTGCATCAGCTACTTGCTCAGAGGATGCTACAAAGGAAGAGTGTGCCACTATCGTGATCTGCTTAGTAGGAATGGCTACCCAGACAAGTTTGTAACTAAGCACATGAATATTACGAGGGTTAAGAAGACAATGCCAATAGTTCCTAAGAAGCAAGTCTTCTTGAAGCTGGAATTTAAGAGTGATATTGCCAGTGAGATCATCACACAACGCATAAAAGAGTCTTGCATAAAGCATTCCCAGCCACTAAATTATGTCCCGCCTTCTACAACCGCCCGATTCTAGTTGCAAGAAATAAACACAAACCGTCTGATTCTGCCACTTCTATGTGCATTTATCAATTCAACTGCTCCTGTGGAGCGAGTTACATTGGGAGTACAATGAGGCAGTTCCATCGTCGCATTTCTGAGCACCACCCATCATGGTTGAACAAGGGACAAATCAGAACTATAAAGAGCTCCATACTTGCACACTTAGTTGACACAGGACATCAAGTGGTTACTGGAAAAGCCTTCGAAATTATCCATCAGATTCCAATTGATTTACCTCATGGATTACGCACTCGATTACTTCACATAGCAGAGGCGATTGCAACTCACCTTTACAAACCTAGCCTTTGTATCCAAAAAAAGTTTGTTCGACCACTTTCATTACCATGGCTGTCAACATGATGTAACTTCTAGGTTTATTTTGTGCACCTCTTCTCCTTCTTGTTCCTATCAATATTCATATTTCCTATTTTAGTAACTCTGTTGATTACTCACATCATTATTTCTGAAACGTCACCACGTGATTGGTAATTTGATTAAATTGTAAACCTATATATTAGTGTAGAGCCGAAGATGAAGACCTAATTGAAAAGAAATATATTTCTTCGCTCAATCAGTCTTTTTCTAAATGTCTAAATGGGTATATTCAATTTATTCTTTTTGTTTTGTTTTGTTCTTGAGTCTGGATATTATTGGAAAATATATATCCAACTAGTAGACTTGCATTCTGGTCTTTTGGTTTCATTCAGTTTGATAATAGAATGGTCATTGGTTGGTTGTATTGAGATAATCGTACCATAATTATTGGCTAAAGCCAGTAATTCAATCATCAGTTTAGCATACAGTTATATGCGTGCCATACAAGTTGAAGTGACAACATAAAACGAGATAAATCCAACCTTTGTTTCAAACTAACTAATCAACCATGATAATTTACTTGGTTGTGGCTAGCAGAGGAATTCAGGGCGCGCGTTCTGTCCTGTTTGGGACTTGTCAACTGAATGTACCTGCACCCCAGTGAGTGATCTTCTCACTGAGACTCCAACCTTGTACCCGTTACTTCAAACGCCAAGGTCGAATAGTTCATTCCAGTAAAACAACGGAGAATTAGAAGCATGTCAATAAATAGTAATAACTAACCATCCGCCTTTTATTCTCTTCATTCAACTATCTTGTTTCCTTTTATCTCCATTTGTTCTGATTTCTCACTATCTTCCTTTCTACCGTTGCTTTCACAATATGCTGCACAGAAGCTGTGGTTCAAGTACTCAACTTGTGATTAGTAGGTCAGTAGGTCGAATCTCTCCCTATATATGAAAAGGTCTCACCAGCCAAGTAGTATCAGTAGTCTCCAGACAACACATCTGACCTGTGGTCTTGTGCACGAAAATGCATTTCATTGAATAACCTGTAATATTTCAAAGTTTGGTAGTGTTAACTAATACACCAGGTTGATGAATATTCTACTACTTTCCATCAATGTCTGGTACTACTCTCATTATATTTTTTTCCGAGGTTTTGTGTGAGCTGTTTTGATAGACACCAGTAAGTAAGTAGTAAGCAACTAACCTCAATTAAATGACAATGCTTGTGTGATATAATTTGGTATATGATGATGTTATATTCTTTGGTTAGTGGATTCAAGTTCCTGTTGGAAGCTAAACAGTTTTCTGGTTTGCCTTATTTTGTGTTATTGATTGTAGTATACCGTCGTTGATTGGGTCGAATTGATCGGTCTCTATCGGCATATATGCTCCTGTGCGGCTGCCTTGATATTGACTTTGTTTTAATTATATATATTAATGATGGATAATGGCTAGCAGTGGAATCCAGGATACGCATTTCGTCCTATTTTGGGACTCGTCAGCTGGATGTACCCGCACCTCAGTGAGTGATGTTGTTCCCACAGGCACACTGGGGTGCAGCATCATCCAGCTGACGAGTCCCCAAATAGGACCAAACGCGCATCCTGGATTCCACTGCTAGCCACTATCCATCAATAATTTGCCTTATTTTGTGTTTATTTTTTGATATCTGTTCCTTGTATGTTAATTATCTACCGTAAAATTAATTTTAGTTAGTATTTTGTTTTACTAATTATAAATACTTTAATTAGTATATTTTACTTATACATGAAATAAGCTACCTTACAGTCAACAAACAAAATAAGGTCACTAATGTCAAATATGATTTTACATTTGTGTTTCGGTCGCTTTCATACTTTTTTGTTTTACAGAATGCACATAAGAATAAAAAATTTCAGTGACATATTTCATTTACTTATATTTATGATTGTAAACAAGGCTTGAACTTTAATACGGTAACGTCTAGTGCTATATATATATATATATATATATATATATATATATATATATATATATATATATATATATATATATATATATATATATATATATATATATATATATAGTCATTTTTATCCTTAGTTGAAGTTCACTAAACCAACTTCAGTTTTTGTCAGACCTAACAAAGTAGATTTGTTTCACAGTCAACTATATCAGAGTGTTTTTTGTGAATTCAAGTTGTACACTATTTAATCATTATTGTAATAGCGACTATAAAGGATAACTAGATGATGCTTTTCAGAGTATATTGTGTATACAAAGCATTATGATAAATTGAAGTGCGCTAAAAGAATGGGAAATATGTAATAGTAGCTACTATATGACACAGATACAGTGATTTGATTGATTTTGTGGTATATAATTCTTCATTGTTTGTGAACTGATCTGAAATACAGAGGAAAAGTTCTAATGTATTGATCTTATCTATATCACAAACCATATTCGGGTGTATCTTTAGCGGCTCTTGAGAATTCTCTTTATCATTCCTTTTCAATTCATTTGTAAACAAGTACGAGAATGGCTTATCAATATGAAGACAAAAGAGCAATATGGATTCTTATCAAGAAAAGCCATTTTTACCTTGGATATGAAAGAGTATGGTTGTGATGGGTTAAATCACCTTTTATATAAATCAATATTGTTGTACTGTTAAAAATATGATTTTTCATGTAAAAAAGGAATTCGGTAGGTATCAAGAGCTTTCTTTCAGGTGTTTCTTTTGGGGGTTGGGGATAGTTTTCAGCCGTCATTACAGATTGACATCATATTTGTAGGTGATCCTAGAACATCTGAATAAATCTATTGATCTTCTAAAACATGCTGTTCATTCTCTTTTCCATTGAGCTAAACTTAGGTCATGCGTGATATTCACTTTGATGTCCTACTTATTGAATCGTTTCTTCATGGCGTATAACATTTCTATTTTTGTTTGTATTTGTATAAAATTCGTTTTTGATTTCATGATTATAGTTATGAAATGTATCATCAACTTTCATTTTATTCATAATTATTAATCTACATTTTCATACTTTACTATTCTAACTGGATATGTATTACTTCTAGATACTTTGTTTGGAGAATATTATCCATGTACCAGCTCTTTCGTGGTATCCATCTAAAAAGGGAGACTAGTGTGCATCTTTGTTTATGCGTGTGTCAATTTTACGCATGTGTACATGTGTAGATTCATATTGTTCTATCAATGTATTCTAAGTGTACACAAATAGATGTTATGCATATGTGTGTGTGTGTGTGTTAAATGATTTATTGTTTTCATCATTCCTGTTGTAATTATCTGTTTAATTGTATCCACCCTGTTGGAGAAAGTACCTAAAAAGAGTTGTCAAGGTTAGTTGAAATTTATACATAAATACCTTTCGACCAAATTGGAATACCAACCTTAGTAGAGTTGGACTGGAATAAAGCTAAGGTTAGTTACACTACAATAGAATCATTCCGTAAGTTTCCAAACTGCTTATTTGATATGTACGAGGAGGTTCAACCTGTCAAGATGTCAGGAATTAATGGTCAAATGCCCTTTGTTCAAAGTTGACCAGAGTAGCGTAGATGTATTCACTCCTTATATAATCAGAATTTTAAATATTTTTGCATACTTTCGCTTATTTACCCTCTTTCTTCTCCTACACTTTTGTCAACTTTAATATCATTGTTTTTCTGTCTATTGTGAATTGTGACAGAGTGTACACGACGTTATGTTCACTCCCCTGGCTCTTGAGTCTTATGTTTAGGTGTTTCATGCTGCCTTTTTTTATTAGGAATCGAGCTTCAGTAGTCTCTGGGCCTAGGTTTTGTACTTTTCAGCAAGCCCTTTTCAACAGTTTGCGATTACAGTTTTAAAGAAACTCATAATACCTTAGACATTTGTACCTGCATCACTGAATGCTGAAGTCATAGACTTTACTACTGTCATTAAAGTCATGGCTAATCATTTGTAGGATTGAGTTGTGTACGCCAACTGATCCCCGAGTGGTAAATAATATCAATTTCAAATCATAAGTACTGATCGAGTTTTGTCAGATACTTCTTTTTAAACAAACATTAGATAGGATTAACCACCTAATGTTTTTGAATCATTTGTATCTGAAACTGAACAATCTTGTTTTTACCCTTACTATGCATCTATAAATGTGATTTATACAAATGGTCACTTGAACATCTCCGTTTTCAGTAAATCTGTAGTTATTAAACATCTGTTACTAAAAGAAGGCACAATAATGCTGGTGCTTTGTAAGAGCTATCTAAATATACTTATCAGCCTGAAGGTGGATGTTATCTCTTGAACACTATTGTATTTATATAATCTTTTCATCCACCAGACACACACATATGTAGATAGCACTGGACCTGATGTAACTGTGCATCAGTACTTATCAACATACTTTATATCACCATATTGAGATGTAAGTCAACAAGTGAAGGCGTACAACGAATAATGGACATTCTGATAGGCATTTCTGTGTAGATGAATGATAAGGCATGATTGTATTTATATCTGTTATCGATTTTCGACGGTATCCTTTAGGGTATGCAATTGTCGATTTTGGTTATATTCCACAACCTAACCTCGAAGCGTACATTACCTTACTCCAACTCAGTTGGAGTCTTTCTCTATTGACGGCATGTCTGTTTCCTACACATACCTACCTACTTTGGCTAACATTAAGAATTATCACCCACCAAAACTTTAAATCAACTTGTGTTGGAATTTTTTCTGAAGGTATATGTGACCTCTTAAACCGAATTTTATGTAAAAAAGGATTAATTATCGAAATACTATTTGTAAAGTTGTATCCATGTGTCACTTCATCCTGCTTTTGTTGCACTACGGCTTGGTAGTTTAGGGAGATGACTCAACCATTGAGTCACGGATTGGAGCCCCATTCTACCTACTTGCGTTTCGGCAGCCAAGTGGTATCTCTAGTTCTCACACAGTATGTTCAGCTGATTGCAGAGTGCACAAAGTGACTAAGCGCGTTTCGTTACCTCACAGACGTGTAACTTGTTTTATGACAAAAAGGAAACTGGCTAGATAACCTTTTGTATTGTTGGGTTGTTTATTTGAAATAAGATGGTGATACATTTATTGCTTGAGAGATAAAGTTTTGGATACATTTCATTATCAATCATCAAATCAAGTTGTTTTAGACTGCCTACCTAAGTATGATTATGGTTAGTGAGAATGCCTGTGGGATGTCATCCAGTAATTAATATTGTACCATTATTTGCTGTATCGAATAAGCAAACCAACTTTTAGTGAAACTCAACTACCTTGTACATGAAGTGTTGCGCACCGCTCGATAAAATATTCTCGCATTTCTTATCGAATGAGGAGTTAGTTTTCGATCACTTTCTGTGATGGAATGGATAATTACTAAACGTTCGTAGCTGTAGCAGTTAGTTTATTTATCTTTTTTGTAATAATACACCTATTTTCAAGAAATTTCATTGCCAATATGATCAATCGATGGTGTCAGCAGCCAAGTACTAACAGGTGCAATTGACTTTCAAACAATGGATTCAGGCCTCAAGTTCCGCTTCTTTGTTCCTCTGAATATATATCTTATTAGATTGCTTCGTTTTAAAAATAAAACTTTGTCAGTAGAATTAATTAATAGGAAAGTTTCTTGTAATTGTTGCACACTGAGACTATATGTACAACGCTTGGGTACAAACGGCTCTATATCCTCCAACTTAACTAATTTGAGGATGTCTAGCAACTCTGTGCATAGTGATTGTCACTGTCTTGGCGATATTGCTTGCAACAGTTAGCAGTGCTATGTAATTCTCAGATCTAGTGGCATGTGTTTAAGCGAAATGTAAGTCATTCTCTTGATAAGTTAAACCATCTTTAGGTTGAATTTCCGTGTTTCGACACATCTCATACAAACCGTCTCAGTAGTTTCATAAGTATTCATTATTCATTCACTTGATAATTTATGGTGAGATTTCGAGAGGTGGTTACTTTCCAGTGTAATACCATAGGATAGAGGGTAGTTCTTTTGAATATTCTACCGATCTCCGTCGATTACGTTTTGCAGGTAACCTGCCATGGGACAATATAGGATATGACTTAGAGTTGTAATCAGAGATGAGCATACTGTAATTCCTTTATGTCTTCTATTTCTGAACGGAAGTTTCAAAGCATTTAAAGCTTCATGAGTGTATCTCATATCATTGCTTCTCCACATTCGACCACCTTGTTTTCATTTATCTCTTACTTTGTATCTTCATCCTGTTGCTATATTGTTTTTTATTGTATCGTATTGGATTTGTATTAAAACAGCGATACAGAATTTATCGGTGCCTGACATTTTAATCCAGGACTCATTTCTGTTGATATTTTGTACCTCTAATGAGGATGAATATTAATTCTACTATTATGATTGAAATTCAACATAGGTTGCTTGGATTTCCATAATTCTTAATTGCATTGATAGAGATGTTCTGTTAGTACTATTAGTTGGATTGGAATATTTCTTTTTTATGGTTGTCAACGAAATATGAAATGCATATACCCTACATTTTTTTGAGTTTCATCATCCAGATGTTGCTTTTTCCAAAATTTCTTTTTAAACAGTACTACTAATATATAATAAGTATCTTAACCTTTTTCATTTCATTTGTCCCCTCATCATCAAATTTAATTCGTACGTACTTTTTATGTACACCAATGTCAGTTTGGTGTCAGAGGTCACACACTTTGTGGTCTTTGTTGAACAGTTTTCAGTGGAAACTCTGTTGACACCACAGTTTAAAAACTACTCAGCTGTAGGAAATATCAACGTTAATTGGGGAATTTGCAAATTTTTCACTATATTTTAGGTATATCTGTCCATATAAGTTGTCATCTAGCCAGATTCAGGTGATATGAACTAATCCGGCTCTTTGAGCTGAATTAGTCCGGGTATACCGCTGATGATGAGCTGGGCTCCAAAAGAGCGAAACAGCCGTTCGGTCTGATCTGGCTTGCGAAATACTACAGATCAGTCTGAGTAGTAGTATCTTACACCGCTGTTTAGTACTGAAATTCAGAGTGCATGTATCGTCGTATGTTGAGTTTATCAACTGAATCCCTACCGTCATCCCAGTGAGTAGCAGTGTTGTAATTGAGACCTACCTACAACTTCATAGCGTTATCCTCTAGGCTAATAAGCCATGAGTGTCAACTCTTCACAACCGAGTTAAAGCTTTTATTGAAGTTTTGTTGTTGTCCAGTTTATTTGCACCAAGTTGTTCAGTGTTCGTTTTTTCAGTTCCATTGTCCCCACTACCCTTTTAATGTTGTCATTATATTGAATGTTGCATATAATCGCTAACGTATTCACATTTGTAATGCATTTAGATTAACTAGTGAACTAATTAATCAATTAATCCGTACAATCTTTAATTTTATAGGATGTTATAATTCATTCAACCTATGGTCACGCACCAGATGATGGTAATACTAATGAGAATAATGAAAAACAGTAGTAAAAATCACACAAAAATGATAACTAATTGTGCGTATGCTTACATGCACTTGTTAATTATTAACAACAACGTTGTGCGCCTTCTCCACTTTTGTGTATAAGCTATTTTACAATGATTTTGTTTTGTTAAAATTATTATTATTATTCTCATTATTTGATTGTTAAAAGTCTTTGTGTATTTCTTCTTTTTTTTGGTATTAATCTCATGCTATGATTACTAGTGTGTTTGTCTACTAATGTGCACGTCCTCTAGTTTACTTTGAAATATAATTTTATTTTCATAGTTTTCATCTTACAGTTTGATTGGTGTTGAAAAGCGTAGACTGTCTAGTTGACACTTTCTGAGACCATAGGAGTCAATAAGCGGTCATCACATGGCGGTGTTAAGTGTCAAGAGTGAAGAGGCCGTGGATCTAAGTTTCATTCTTGTTGGTACTAGCCAGCTTGGTTTATTTTTAACCATGAGGGAACTGGTGTTTCGAACTACTATGATCTTTCTTCATCTTTCTGCACGTGATTACTATCGATTAATTATTTTTACGGCTTCTTATATTTTTTATTATACTATCATTCGGTTTCTGTTCACTTTTTTTCGCGTTGTGGATTTCTGTCGTGTACATTGCTTGGAAAGTTGAAAACTTGAAAGTATCCTATTTTGATGAGGTTCTGTGTTGTTGTTTTTAGGGGGTGCTTTTCATTTTCGGCTTTCGTACACCTCTTAACGTATTTCACATAGTTACCTTCAAACCGCCATCCTACTTTTTATTTTTAATGTAACCTTGTAGATGTTTATGTACTAACCTGTGGGGGTTTGTGATATTACCCGGGTGCCTGAGTGGCAGCTAGTGAAGCTGAATTCCAACCTGGAACCCATTTCTTGAAACTTTTTGTAACTTAAAGAGTGTTATGTGAATATTCAACATAAATGTCGAATCATTACCTGTCAGCTTTCTGTTCAGTTAAATCGTTGTGCCAGACCGCCTTTTACGATTAACCTTTACGCAATAGTTGGTTGTCTTTTTCTAGCCAGTTAGTTACTGTAAGTAGCTACTATTATTTCTGATCTACATGTTAAACGTTTTCACTCTGACAGGCTTGACTTCTAATCCTACTATTTACGTTTACTATACTCATGGAAATTCTTCATTAATTAGCTTGTATCTTAGGTTTTTATACACCTCTCCTGATTCGCTTCATCTTTTCGCCATTCCTACTACTATTTTAATACACTGGATACATTTTTTTTCTTGAAACATTTCATCAATTAAAGATAATATTTCGCAGTCGTTAAACAAATAGCAAACCCTATAGTCTCTTTTACCAGTGTATTTCATACAAGACTGTCAAATCAATTAGAAAATAGCTTGTGATTGTCTGATGTTGTTTGCCTCAGAGAGATACTACATTATCAAAATTTTGGAACCACTGGATACATAAAAGTGGGTGAACTTGTGGACGTTGTTAATATAAGAGTAAAACTTGTTCACTGTGGTAGAACGTAATTCTATTTTTATCGATTTATTAGATTTATCACATAGTGTATCAGTTTTATTTACTGGATTACTCATTTAGAAATGAGCTTCGTAGGTTAAAAGATCCTATTGATCCAATTAAGCAGAAGAACTTAGTTTACCGAATCGCTTGCAACGATTATGAGGTCAAAGTGGTTGACCAGAGTCAATTAGGCTACCCGAACACAGAACCTAGATAGGTCAAAATTGGTTGACCTTAGTAAGGTAAAGCAAACCTTTATCCGCCTCATTCAACAACTATATGAAGATGCCACATGCCAAGTAATCCACAATGGGAAGCTCAGTGATGCCTTTGAAGTGAAGACAGGAGTGAAACAAGGTTGCCTACTATCCCCCATGATATTCCTTATTGTGGTGGACTGGATCATGCAGCAAACAGTGGGGAGCGAGAAGAGGGGGATACACTGGACGACGGAAAAGAACCTAGAAGACTTGGATTTCGCCGATGACTTATGCCTGATGTCACACAAACTTGAAGATCTGCAGGCAAAAACTAACAAGTTGATAGAAGAGGCAGCTAAGACGGGACTTCAGGTGAATATAGAGAAGACAGAAGTGATGAAGATACCGCACCACCACCATCAACAACAACAACAAACTCCAATCACCGTCAACGGGAGAAACTTGAAGGAAGTAACCTCCTTCACTTATCTAGGAAGCACTGTTTCAACTACAGGCGGGACAGACGAGGACGTCAAAGTCAGAATCGGAAAAGCAAGACAGGCGTTCATTAGCCTGAAACCAGTGTGGAGATCTCCTGCACTCAGCATGCGGAACAAGATACGGATTTTCAACACCAACGTCAAGTCAGTGCTCTTGTATGGCTCAGAGACTTGGCGCGTCACGAAAGGTATTTCCAATAAACTACAGACATTCATCAACAACTGCTTACGCTCGCTACTGAAGATCAGATGGCCAGAAAAAATAAGCAACAAGGAACTCTGGGAACGAACCAACCAAGAACCTATCACGCAACAAATATGCAGGAAGAAGTGGAGATGGATTGGCCATGCACTGAGAAGGCCGACTGGGGACATCACGCGTCAGGCCAGTTGCTCGAGTGGAATCCCCATGGGAAGCGACGAGTTGGACGTCCGAGGGTGACATGGAGGAGGTCGTGCGAGGAAGAAATGAGAGCTTCTGGGCTGTCGTGGGACCAGGTTCAAAAGATCTCAGAGAACAGAGGTCACTGGAGGCGTGCTAGTGAAGCCCTATGTTCCACTAGGAACCCAAGGGACTAATAATAATATAATAATAGTAAGGTAAAGAATTTAGGAAAAGGCTCAGCCGTAGCTTTATATGCAATTACACACAGTAGGATGGGACAGGGTGAAAATCTTCAACAAAGCAGGGTGAAGGGAAAGCTTGGTAACCGCATTTTTGTTTGTCTTGTCAACACCTGATACATGCAACAGGAATTACTCAACACTTGCTCCGGATATATACGGAAATCTTACTACCCATATCACAAAGGGGGCGAGGAAATTTGGACTATATAAAAGATGTCTCAAGTTGTGTAGTTATCTTGATATGACTATGGATAGTAAATTATATCCGAAACGTAATCCAGTAAACAATATTGTTACACTGTGATACATCCATTAAACCAATAAAAATGAAATTGTGGATGTTATCTCTTAATTGTATTTCATATAGGACATGATATAGTAGAGGGGAATACAATTTCTTTGACTGCATTTATAACTAGCTGTTTTTTAAAGTATGCATGCTCATTTGTATGGTATTTGTGTAATCCCTAGCAGGATAATTCTAATAAATGGGTCATCAATGGAATGTTAATGAGTGAGTACTTTGTTGATTATACAAGCCTAATTGGAAAATTCAGCGATCTTATATAAAGTAAAGATTTTGAAGATAAAATGTTCAATATGCAGGTTTCTTTTGCACTTATCGATAAGGTGTATTTGTAACTTTATAGGTAATACTTTTCATATCTAAATTCTTAATATACATTAGTGTAATTAGAAATGTTACCACTGGGTTTTCACTTGATTCTCTTAAGATTGTCCCAACTCATCTGTTCCGTGAATAGCAACAAGCACTGAACGTAGGCTTGATGATCTTAACTGATTATCGTCAGCCACAAAACGTTACTAGTGATACTTCTATCAGAAGCTGTCATATAAAAAAATATTTGGTCACCGGAAGTGTTAGATCTACTGCACTCAGCATAAAGCGTGAACATGGTCCGGATTTTCAACACCAATTTCAAGTCAGTGCTTCTATGTGATGGCTCAGAAACTTGGCGCATCACGAAAAGCATTTACAACAAACTAAAGACATTCATCAACACCTGCCACCTACGCTCACTCGATACTGAAGACCAGATGGATTGCCAGAAAGAATAAGCAACCAGGAACTGACTCTGGCCAGCCAATAAACCAACCAAGAACCTATCACCCAACAACTATGCAGAAGGGAGTGGAGATGGATCGGGCATACAGTGAGAAGGCCAACTGGGGACATCATGCGTCATGCCCGGCCGTGGAGTGAAATCCGAAGGTGAGGCGACGAGTTGGTTGTCCGAGGTTGGGGTGACATGTAGGAGGTCATGTGGGGAAGAAATGAAAGCTTGTGGGCATTGGTGGAGCCAGGTTTTGAAGACTGCAGAGAAGAGAGTGCACTGGAGACGTGCTACTGAAGTCTTATGTTCTACTAGGAACCCAAGGGAATAATAATGAGACCGGAAGTGTTGATCAGTAATATTATAAGCTGAGTTACAGCCTGAAGATGTGACTGTGCTCACCTAATACAACTATTACTTCTTTTGACTGAGATTACGACAAACTTCAAGTGATCAGGTGATTAAATCTTTAAAAAACTAATCCGTTGGTCACGTAATTACTATTACATTAGTTAAACTTTGATGAATGTGCAGAATATATAATGCCAAAGAAACATGTATGGCATCTTTGATACCGTTTATCACTTGCTTCTAGTTGATCAAGCGTAATTTGTCCCATTTTTCTGGCATGAATTCGTTCAAATCATATTTTGTTTATACTTGCTTTTTCGTATATTGTATAATTTGTACTTGAAATTTTAATATTGTAAATATATATATATATATATATATATATATATATATATATATGTTTTTCTTATTGCTTTTCATTAATTAACCGCGTGTCATTTTCTTCGATGTTTCGTGTATCGTAAATACTCTATCATACACCTTCACCTTGGCGTTTTTATTTTACACCCTAACGAAAACAGCTGATCAGTAGCGTTGAAATCTTTGAGACCTCGTGAAAGTATTTTGAGATCTAGTAGGTAAACAGCAGTTGTAACGGTGGCTGTAAATTTTCTTTTATTACATGACTTTCCAGCAGATAAACAAGAACTGTCATGCTTTCTGCGTCACTTAGAAGTATTACGTCATAATACTATTTAAAGGTTATACTTCAAAATAGTCATGCTCTCTCACAATGCTGATCTAAACTGTAAACTACATTTCTTCTTGGACATTTAAACTCTCGGTCTTAAAATGGATTCCAAGGAGTGGAGGAAAGCATTCAGAATTCATACTGCTTGCTGTTACTTAACCGAAAATGTAATTAAATGATCTATTCGTAAGGAAATCCTTAAGTTATCTTGGAATTCTTTGGTTTCACTAAATTGTTGTAGTTGGTAGGTTAACCTTCATGAACACTTAGTCTTCCTTTTTGTCACAAGTTGTGCGATTTAAACACCCGGGAAGGCATATTGTGAATACAGTTTAACTGGAAACGGAATTCCAGCTGGCAGTTTTCATAGTATGGGCAATGCACTAACTTATCTGAGAGACTAAACTCAACTATTAATTGAGTTTCACTAGTTGCCGTACGTTTTCCTCTGTTTACTCGAAGTGAACAGTTTAGAAGTAAAGTCTCATACCTGTGGATTTGGTGAGGTAGTTTTAAATCTTTGAGAGAATACGAGTTTTCTGATTCTTGAAAATAAGTGTTACCATTAAGTTTCAATGAAAAAAGATCTTTGTTTATTACTTTCTAACGATCCTCTCAATGGATATCAAGTAATCAAATGAGTAACAATAAATTAATGAGCGACAATGATGAAATGTGACACCTCAACTGGATACGGATAATGACTGTTCTCCCTTAGAACTGCATACTTCACTGAGCCACGAAAATCAATAGAAAAAGACCAGCCTGTGACTTTGAGGAAGATGCTTTACTCGACGAAATGCATCATTTGTGTGCAGTTTTCATGAACACTAAGCCAAAAGTTAAGTTCATATTTTCATTGGCCAACTGTAGGATAAATTGTCCAATAATGTTTTTCCTGACCATGCAGTAACGTGAAACAAAAATTTAAATCCCAAGCTTCAACCTTAGAGGCTGATAACTGAAAACATGTTTCCATTTGGACCACTTCCTATCGACATCTAGAACCAGCTACGAAAATGTCCCCAGTCCGTTTCCTAGATTCAACCAACTTACTAGGTGATCTTTAGAATAATGTGTAGATGTCGAGAATGTTTAGGCACTGATGTAGAAAGCCAAATGGGATGAGTGGATGTTACAATACCCAGCCGTAGCCACCGGGTTATTATTATTATTATATTATTTGTCCCTTGGGTTCCTTGCAGAATATAGGGCTTCAGTAGCACGTAATAATAGGTTATTACTGCTGTCTTTTTAATTCGAAACATACAAAACAAAGTAAGCATGATTCAAAGTGACTTCCCATGCTACCATTTGTGAACTCAAAATAACCGGTGGTTAGAATTCAGACCGTCATCACTGTGAGAAAAGAGGAGTGAGGAAGTAAAAGAACACAATGAGTTGAATATAATAGCAATGTCGAAGGTTGAGTATAACACGTGTTTACACAGCTTAAAGCTAAGCTGGTTATCTGTCAATGGTTTCCTCTGTACACTGACAGTTCATTGTCATAAACTATTTGGTTTGACTTAGTTCACATATTAGATC